TGGCTTAAAAATATAGAGGTGATTAAGACTGTCCATGTTTTATTTGTTTGAAGGGAGGTCAGAAATATAAATATAATTATCCTTTCAATGTGTATCTGGCAACTTTCTCCAAGTAATTCAACTGCTTCCACCTGCGCTGTGTTCAGAATTGTAAATGGAAATTCTCAAGTTGTTCAAGCAAAGAGCAAAAAAGTCAAGGTATTGTTATCCCTGAGATACTGCCCTTCAAAATGACCTGATTATTTTAATTAAATAATCAGTAGGTTGATGTAATCTCATTCCTGAACCCCAAATGCAAAGATATTGGAAATGTCCTAGTAACCATGAAGGAAAACTTACAAGAATTAGTGGCCCAGGTAGGAAACTAATGAATTTTTTTTTTTTTTCGTTGTGGGCCATTTCTTAAAGTCTTTATTGAATTTATTACAATATTGCCTCTGTTTTATGTTTTGGTTTTTTTGGCTGTGAGACATGTGAGATCTTAGCTCCCTGACCAGGGATCAAACCCGCACACCCTGAACTGGAAGGCGAAGTCTTAACCACTAGACCGCCAGGGAAGTCCCTGAATTTCTGAATATAAAAAAATTAACTAGGGTATTGCTTCTGATCTCAACAGCCATGTAAATAGGACCTAACTTCTCAGATTTCCCAGTATTTACCTCTTCTTCTCACTGGAGAAATGAAGTAAATGTTGCTGATGATGAGTTAAAGGGCTCAATAGCTAAAAAGCACCCTGACAATAGCCACAGGAGTGCAAGGGAAGAAGTAAAGTTTTTGTTGTCTAATTGAATCGAAAACACCACATTCTCTTAGTAGCGATCTAAGGACGTGGAATGTCACTTTCAGAAAGCTAGCATTTATTGTTTTCATTTTGTTCCTTAAATGCCTAACGATACTGTCATGTCAAGACAAAGAAAATTTCAAACAGCAACTGTTATCTGCTTCTTCATCTCTTCCTCCATCACCCTATTCTATCCTGTGCTGCTGCACTGGTTACCTTCTGCATCAAAACATCTTTCATGTCTCATAAACCTACAGGAAAAAAAAAAATAACACACTCAAAGATTAGAGAACACACATTCTTTTTCCAGGCCCTTTTTTTGGGGGAGGGGCACAGACTGTAGTTCTAGTAAAGTGTGTTAAATTTTCGAGAGTCTGAGTTTATTTCTCCCTTCTAGGATAATGTGTTATCTAAAATGTATCTATATTTATATATCTCCCAAACTTTGACACCTGAAGAACTTGTCAAAAACTCAAAATTCCTGGGCTATACTCATAGAGATTTCTGTTTCACGTTCTGAGAAACCATCAGGGATCTACATTTAAAAAAAGCATCTCAGAAGAATATCATGCATTTTCTTAAAAAAATAAACACTGTCATCATCTCTTTTACTCATTCGGCATTTTCCACTTTTCAGAATGCTTGCGCATACATATTCAGTTCTGTGAGGTAGATGGGAATGATTATTCCCATCTTGAGGATAAGAAAAAGACTCACAGTTTAGCAGTGATTTTCTCAAGGCCTCACTATACACCCCTCTCTCGCCCGTTTCTCTGGATTCCTCACCTTAGCTGACCTTTTCCTTTTTGGGTGTTGAACTGCAAGAGGCAAGGAGCCCCCAAAGCCAGCCAGTACTATTTGTACCTGCCTTCCTCAAGAATAAGACAGGCCTTGTGGTAGCCAAGGAAGGAAAACACGTAATTTTATCTGTGAAATGTGAACATTTCCCAGATGTTCCCATAACATTTCCCATATCATTGACAGTGATAACAACTGATTTTCAGTAATGTCCCTTACCACATCCAGATGTGCTTTTGAAAATGTATTTGGCTGGATTCACTTTTGGAGAAGAGGTCTGTGTGTGGTCGCCTGTGTGTGGTCGCCTGTGTGTGTGTGTGTGTGTGTGTGTGTGTGTGTGTGTGTGTATCCCCCTGTTATGTACTGTTAGAATCCCAAGTTCACTGCCCTTATTCAGGCACACTGAACAGCTGCAGGGGATGTGGTGCTCCCCATTGACAGCTGGGATTCCCCCCTCTCAGGGCACCTGGCCTATTTAATCCTCCCAGCTGTCTGCCTCGTAAACCTGTCTGCCTGTGTTATGTCCAGCTGCAGCATGAAAGGTCCAGGCCCCCAGACATGGTGGGGCTGTTTAACACAGTGCTTGCTCTAAACAGCCTCACAGGCCTCAATTATTCTCCTTCTACTAGGCCCACAGGTTTGTGCCCACATCTAGAGAATTCCTGGGCCCTCCTCACAGCCCACATCCATTCTCAGTAGCTGCCAGGGCCTTCATGTTCCTTGCCCACTCTGAGGGTATTTCCAACATACATGTTTCTGCTTGGAAATCATCCATTAAATCTTTTGGCACTACCCTTGATGCTTAGTGGAATGTCTGTTAAGGGGAGGGACGAGGGATATTTGAAGACTGATTGAACAGAGATACTAAGTATGACTAATAGCCACTTCCAGGCCTTAGCATGACTACTCCTTTATGTTTCCAAATTTTTTCATGCTGCATTTTAACTTGGGTGACATTATCTTCTCCGCTGAGTGTTCTGTTGCATCCAGCTGTCATCACAAGCACTCCTGGAGACCCGATTGCCCTCCACAGCTGGTTGTTGACTACCCTTGCCCACAGTCACCCTCTCACTCTACCTCCATCCTCCCCTCTGTGCAGGGTGCTCACCTGGTTCCTTATTTTAAGGATTGAGCCTGTTTTGCACGTTTCCTGATAGAAACCAGAAATCTGGGTGCCTCAAATATGGAGACACTTTTTCCTGTTCCAAAATGTGCTGAAGGTGGACCCAACAGGCCATTGTTACTTTCTCCAGTGTCTGCTGCCTTCCTTTCTAAAAAGAGAATTCTTTGTGCTTCAGCTTATTGGAGAGACGGCAGACTGCTTTGTGGGCGCCTCACCCCTAGCCCCTCTCTGTGTACCCGGAATCCTTTAACGGGCCGGTAGTGTTTTCTCTTGGGGGAGGGATGGGACAGAGCCGACCGGAGCTGCAGTTCCTTCGCTCTGCCTCTGAGAATTTCTCATACAAACCTCAATCACGTAGGATTGCGTAGAGAGGAGAAAAGGGGAAAGACAGAAGACGGAGAAGGGGGAGAGGGGTGACGGGAGGGAGGGGGAAGAGTCTGGGAACAGAGGGCGCGAGGGAGGGGAGGAGGACCCGAGCCCTCTGCGATTCCTTGCGCTCCGGGAGCCTGGCTCCCAGGCTGGCCCCACCTGGGCGCTCCCAAGCTCTCAGCGAGTGGGCGAGCAGTGCCAAAGGTACACCGGCGGCCGCCTGCTCTTCGTCCCACCCTCCGTCTCGGTGGCGGTCGTCCCCGCCTGGAGTTTCCTGTGGAGCTAAGCGCTCCAACCCAGCGAGCCGGCTAGGCGGCGGCGGTGGCGTCCAGGAGCCGGTGCGGCTCGGCGCGCCTGGAGCCTCAGCCCCCGAATGGGACTCAGCCCTGAGCGCCCCCTCCGGGGCCTGGGGAGGAGGCGGCGGGGGGCACCCCGCTAGCCCGCGGCTCCGAGCTGCCACCCGCGCAGCAAGTTGGCTGAGTTGGCGGCAGCCCGCACCTGCTTCCTGGCCCCGGACCCAGAGTCTGCGTCGGGCCCCGAGGGCCCCAGTGGTACACTCAGCCGCCTCCCGCCACCCAGACCCGGCCGCGTAGGGGGCCCCTCTTGCGCCCCGGGCGCCAGACCATGGTGGGTAGCTGCGAAGCGGAGCCGCAGCCTCCTGGAGCCGACGTCGCCCGCAGCCAGCCCCCGCCCCACCCGAGCCGCCGCGCGGGTGTTCGCAGCGCGCGGGTCCCTTCCTTCCTCGGCCGGGATGGGCCGCGCGGGACTGAGTGATCGGCCTCGCGTCCGGCGGGTAATCCCCATCTGATCTGATGCCTGTGAGCCGCCGACTGCCGGGCCGCGCGAGCCTGGGGGCCCCGGGCAGCGCGGCGATGACCTGATCCCGAGCTCGCTAGGGCGCCCCCTCCTTCCCTCGCTCCCTCTGAGCCTGTGCGGAGAGCTGCTCGGTGCGGCGGCCCCGGGCGGACCATGGCGGGGAGCTCCAGTTAAAGGCGTGTGGGCGCCGAGCTGGAGAGGAGACCTTCGGCATCGCTGCCTTTTGAGGGGGCTTATTTAAACTACTGAGTCATTCCAGATTTAGGATTCCCTAAATAATCACCAACTGTGCCCGTCTTGTGCCAGAAAGAAAGAGGAAAGAGAAAGAGCACCTGCTCTCGGGACCCCGCGTATCCGCGGCGCTCGCCTCTCGCGGGTTTCTCCCGGAGGGGTGGCTGGCCCTCGAGGATCTCCCTCCCTCCCTCCCTTCCTTCCTCTTTCCCCGTCCCTCCTTCCCTCCCCCCTCCCTCGCCTCCCGCGCCTCCCGCTCTCCTTGCAGCGCTGCTGGCGGGGAGTCGCGCTCGCCGCAGCTGGAAACAGCTGCCCCCGCCTGGCGCCCCTACCCCGACTCCGGCTAACCGCTCCCACTTCGCGCCTCTCGGAATTCCAGAACTCGGGCGGCGGGCCCCGGGAGAACCGCAGCCGGTGCGATGCATTCCGTAGACCTCACCCAGCCGGGACGGACCTCCTAATCTCCAGAACTGCGGGCCGCAGGGAGTTAAATTGCTGCCTTCCTCTCCTCTCTTGCGGTTGGTGGCTTGTTTTCTAAAGGAACGTTTTATTCACTTTTTAGTATTTTCTACCGGGGGCACGCTACCCGCCTCGGTCCAGACTGCTTTGTAAACGGGTTTTATGTGTATATATGTGTAGATATACTTTGGACACCTTACAACGCTTGCGCCTCTCCAACAGGGGCACGGCTTGTTGTTTTGGACATCCTTTTTCCCTTTCCACTTGGTACTCCGAACGCAGTGTGACCAAACTCCCCACTGCCCCTTGGACGCGGATCGCCTTGGGGTGCAAGTTTGGGGTGCAAGAGTCTAGTTAACAGGAAGGCCTGGGACCGCCCCGCCCCCACCGCCAGCGGTTGGGGAAGTTTACATCTGGATTTTCACACATTTTGTCGCCACTGCCCAGACTCTGACTAACGTTGTGGGCGCCGGGTTTTCGGTACTGCGGCCTTCTCAAATATTAGCACTGCCTCCACGCGCCTGCCCTGTCCCTCCAGGCCGCCGAGGTCCTGCCCTCGCCCCGGCGGAGCGTGATCCCGAGGGCGCAGTGGAACCCGGGGCCTGGGGCCCGCGCTGAGCAGCTATGGCTGCAGCGATAGCCAGCTCCTTGATCCGGCAGAAGCGACAGGCGAGGGAGTCCAACAGCGACCGGGTGTCGGCCTCCAAGCGCCGTTCCAGCCCCAGCAAAGACGGGCGCTCCCTGTGCGAGAGGCACGTCCTCGGGGTATTCAGCAAAGTGCGCTTCTGCAGCGGCCGCAAGAGGCCAGTGAGGCGGAGACCAGGTCAGTAGAGGTACAGACGGTGGGCTCTCTAGAGGCTGACACCCCCCTCCCCTTCTGAAAAGCACCGGGGACATCCATGATAGAGAACCAGGATCCCCCTCTTCCATTCTGGCCCCCGTTCTCCAAAAATGTTCAGACATCTTTCAGTCGCTCTCTGTTAGTTAATAGCGTCTTGTCCCATATTCAGGAAAACACTTTATACCTTGATGAAACCATGGTTTGACTAGGATGAGAGTTACATATATAGATGCTCCTGGTCCCATAGAGCTTGTAGGGTCCTTGAGAGCAGTGACCACCTCATTCTCCCTCACTCTCTCTTTCTCATCCATCCCTTTATCCGTCCATCCAGCCAGCCAGTGTTTAATCTGCCTACTGAGGACCTAACTATAAATAAACCTTCCTCCCTATATCTCTCATAACACTTAGCACAATTCTTAACACATAATAGACACTTAGTAGACACCAGATCAACTTAAATTTACTTTTTCTAAATCTTTCTCTAGCAACACATCAAGTCCAGTCTTTCTCACATTCTGATCAATTTCTCACCTCCCCATTTTTACCCATGCCCTTTCACTTCCTTTTACACAGACCTCCTTTTCCTATTCTCTTCCTCCCGTTGCTCTCATTGATTCCAATGGCTTTGCTCATTAACTTTTCTGTCCTATTCCTTCCATCCTTTGCACACTCACACTTACTTTTGGGACATTACGGGAACAACGTAGCATCTGCAATTTGGTCTCAGGGAGTGCAAAGAAAACTTTAGACTTATCAGAGATCTTCTAGGCCTGGCCTTTCTGAAGCTGATTCTCTTCTTTGGCCCTAAATTCAAATGGTTGGTCTTTGATGTGTCTCTGTTTACAAAGGGAAATTGGATACCTCAAAATTTCAGAGTGATTATTCCCATTTTACGCCAGGCTACCTGGAGAGAATGAAAGCAGAATTTCCAAGGTCTGTGCTTCCATCAGACTTTATTGATCCTCTGGGTGTGGCCCACAGAGTCATTTGCAATCTGCAGATGATCTACCCGTACTGTGGACAACTGAAAGGAAATACTGTCTCCAGAGAAAGCTTGCTCTGTGATCAGTTGACTAGTTTAGGTTAGCATCTTTGCAACTCTGACTGTGATGTTCTCCTGGGTTCCAGGAATGAAGCATATGGGCTAGGGTCACTGGGTGAAGAAAACACTTCGAAAGTCTGGACAAGTGGGGCTCAGAATTAGTTTAGAAATTTGGGATTAAGCCTTAGTGAAAAAGCCATCTCATCTCGTTTTTCCATTGAGTTTTCATGACGTTATTCACTCCCTAGTGGGCTCATTTTCTTATTCCGTGATGTTGATGAAATAGTAAATTTCAGGAGTAAACAAAAATAATTATGATCTGAAGGCAGGAGCTAGTAAAGCCGATTATTTTATATTCAGTTAATATGGCCTGTTCATTTTATAAAGGGAAGATGTATGCAAAATACTAGAGTTATCTCTGCACAGTAAATAATTCATATTAGGGGGAAGTCAAATCTCTTGTATTGTTGTGCAAGGATCATTTCGGGGCCATTTTCTCTCAGGGCTTACTTATGTGGTCTGCAAGGGACTTCAAGGCTCTGAATTCCATGTGACTCTTATATCTCAGTCTCTGAAGTATGTTCTTGCACTCTAGTTAGGATAATAATGTTTGTGAATAGATCCTATCAGCCTCCTCAGTTACAAACAAGGTCATCAAGATGATAGGTAGATTGTTTTTGTGAATGGAGAAGATAAACTTGACTGATCTTTGTTGAAGTTGATTTGGAGATGAGTGATTTGCATGGCTTGATTTTGCATAAGGAAATTGCTTCCTGTGACCTTTTCCTTAGCATCTCATTAGAAAATAGAGAATTTGAGGGAATTGCTGAGTTTATTGTTCTTTTCAATGTTCATGTAATCTTTCCCTCTTTTTCATCTACTTAGTGTACATTTCAGCAAAGAGATCATGACTGGTGAATTCCTTTAGCTTAAGTGTCACAGAAATAATCTGGCAGAGACGTGACAGGACCTGTTAAGACATGCCCAGTGCAAAGGCAGCACGCATGTTTCTGTCCACGGTGGACTCCAGTTTGTTATGAAGCTTAGCTGAGAAGAATGGGAGCATAGAGTGCAGCAAAGCTTTTGGGGAAGATGATAGTGTCCTGTTATTGTTACTAACAAAGCCAAACAATTAACCTGTTGATTTGCTGTCAGTGACTATGATTCATGTAGTATGGGATGAGCCTATATATAGAGATATAGCACCTTCCACATCTCAATTCCAGAGAGGATTCTTTAGCTGGATTGGGAGAAAGTTGCTAAACACCAAAAGGAAAAAAACTATCTGAGCAAATCTGTTTTACAAGCGCTTTGATGTTATGTTCACTTAATATTTGAGTTATCCTTGAACTCACTAGCCTTTCTAAGCTACATACTGTGAGCTACAAACTGAGTCACAAATGGTAAAGTGGAATAACTTGTCCTGATAAAGAATTTCCGTCGAGACACAAGTTCCATGGACCAGACTTGCCAGGGGAGAGAGCCTGAAACAGTGAAGCTAAGTCAGGTACTGGATGGGAAAGGCCACGGTTGTATTTCTGATTTCAGGGCTGACACATTGAGTGTCTCTTAATCCTTGTCTTAGCTTACCAAGTTCTGACACATATCATGTTGAAACCTCATAAACACAGAGGGAATACTGAAATTACACAGTTAAGGTCTCAGATTTCAAAATCATGATATTGCATTATGAAAATGTGAGAATTGGCAGGGCAAGACCTCCCGTTGTGCAGTTCCAGGACCACGGGCACCTCAGATGCTTTGTGAATGCCCTCCCTGGAGCACAGTGATGGCTTACACTGGGATTGTGTAGCAAAATCCTTCCTAAAATAAGAAATCCTTGAGCCATAGCAAGTTGGTGGTTTATACAAGATTGCACAGCTAGATTGTGGAAAGATTGGGGCTAGAACTTGATCCAGTTGATTCTTCTTGCCTGTGCACTTCATAACACAACACAGAAAAAAGTGGTAGGATGAACTGGGTGTCCTCTGTCAAAGAATGGAAATAATTTTGTGCATTATTTACTTTTACCATTAAGGTTTGTTATCATTATTATTTTGTAATTAGAACAGGAATACGGTCTCATAGAGGAGGTAATGGGTAGAAGGAGACACAGGCAATTGGGATTCTAAAATGACCATCCTATGCAAACTATTATACATAGGATGGATAAACAACAAGGTCCTACTGTATAGCACAGGGAACTATTTTCAATATCCTGTGATACTGAATAATGGAAAAGAATATGAAAAAAATGTATGATATGTGTATAACAATCACCTTGCTGTACAGCAGAAATTAACACAACATTGTAAATCAACTCTACTTGAATAAAATAAATTAAAAAAAAAATAAAGTGACCATCCTATAGCAGCCTGCATTATAAAAGTAAATCCAACAGTGAAGACATACAGACAGTGCAGGAATAGTTAGCCCCTTAGGCACTGTGCGGGCTGTAGCCCTTTGGAAACGAAATTTTGGAGACCTTGAACTGGCACGTTGGCCGAGGGCACTGAACCATAAAAAAGCCTTTAGAACAGTTCTGTTTGTGGACTTTCTAATAAAGAAAGGAGCATTCCTATGGTCATTATTTCTTGAGTAATTATTTATGTGTGAAATACCTGTATGAGCCAGACCTGCTGGAATACTTGCTTAAATGTTGATACCGCTTAATTTGCCATATCTAAGCTATTAGCACATCCACGTGAATTACATGGCTTATTTATTTCCAATATTTGTTTTACTTTTGAATGGAAACATCTGTACAAATGACTGACTCCAGAATTATTTATGTTTTGACTCGGGAGTTGCTGCAGGTAATGGATAGCATTCACCATCAGGAAGGGAAAGGTGTTTATAGAATCTTTGAATGTTGGAGCAGCCAGGAACCTTGGAGGTCATTCGTATCACTCTTTGAGTTTTCAAATGAGAGCCTCTCTGGAAAGTACAGAGTAGTTAGATAAGCCTAAATCTATGTTTTTAAAGTGATTTTGTGATTTTATTATTTTTCTATATAATTTAATTCCTTCCCTCAAACCGGAGCATTAAAAAATCAGAAGTAATCAGGAAAATTCCGCACCTAAAAAACATTAGATGTTTTTCATAACTTAAGTTTTTGGTTTTATATTACCTCCCTCTTAAAGAATGATGTAGTATATTTATACCGACTGGGTAAAATAAATCAAAGAAGTGATTATAATTTTACTAAATTTTGTTGATTTTCATCTGTCATTTTTCTGAGTCCCTGTTTCTGCTTGTTTCTGAGTCCTTGTTTCTGTTATAAAAATTGAGGTTACTCAGAATATTTTAGTATTTTTCTGACTTGTTTTGGTCGATGTATAGTATCTAATAGCATACTCATTCCAAATTTTACTATCAAATATATCCTTTGATGTTGAAGAAGGAAGCATCACAGAAAATAGAAACTTCAAGAAGAAAACTGACAAAAAAAAGGAGAAATGCTTAATCATGTAATTTATGGAATATAAATTAGATTTTTATAAATTGAAATAATTCTGGTCAATATATAGATCAAGAATACATTCGCATGACAGGTGATACTTTACATTTATAGCAAGTAGTCTTATTGTATTTTCTCCTTTAAAAGTATGACTCATATCTGAACAACAAAATCAGCCTAATTAAATGATATTTGGCTTAATGTCTTGTTAAAAAAAAACCCAGGCTTTTCTCTTTAGAAACCCACCCTAGGGTTTAAAGTGATATTTTGTATGTGTCTTTTAAATCCTGTTTTCTCTACGGCAGTGCATTCTCATCAACAAATGATGTTTCTGTTGTAAGATCGTTTTAAAATAGCAGGTACTGTGATCTCTTGATTTCTTTCATCCCACAGAGATCTCATCAAGCCATAACTCAGGATTAAGTCTTTAAAGTTTTAATGAAGTTGATATTCTTGAACAGACTTAGAAAAACAATTTGC